AATAGTATAATAATAATAATGCCATCAAGTGGTACGTACATGTTTGCTGTGGCGGAATGCCAAGACGTGCTATGGACAGATGTTTAGTATTGAGCTTGATTCCGTGGTAAACATGGACATTTTGTTGCGGCCCCTCCATTACCCCACCCCCTCCCTACACCCAAACCAACTCTCTCTCTTTTTCTTTCATTAACCTTTTTTTATACCAGCCTGCGCTTACAGGTTGTTCTGTCTGGAGAAATTACGTACGTCCCCCCCCCCACCCCCACCCCAGACACAAACAATAAAAATATTCATCTGAACTCAGTAAGTATAACATCAACATGCAATATATCGACAGGAGTGCACTAGTCTCGGCAAATCGTGTAAATAAAGTACAAGTGCGCTTTCACAACGGCACTCACACAGACAACATCAAAAATACCGAGGGGAGCAAACAGGTTATTGACCTGGACAAACCTTGGACAGAAAGCTGGACTGCCGCTTTAACAACTGGCCCTTCAGAAAAGTGGAAGTGACAGATAACATAGTAAGACTTTAAGTGACAAAACGATACAAACTCGAAAGTCGTTGTTGATGTGTAATCATCATTATAATCCACATCAAAATCATCATCATCACCATCATCAATTAGCATGAAACTAGACGCAGTATCGTCGCTGACATAACGGAACCTAAGTTTAAATTTATACTACTGTAGTAGATGTGTTTACTAAGACCCCATAAAAGTCTGATAGACGATAATTATTGGGGAAAATGTTAGAACAACTCAGCCGATGAATCAGACAGAGTGGCTTGCTGAGAAAGCGTTACGTTAGTAAGCTGAAGCGTAGAATCGTTTATTACAGTAAAGCTGACCAAAAGTAGAAAACTTAGGAAGACGTCGCAGAATCGACTCTCTATAAAGGACCGTCTCAGAGCCCACGACGTGAACCACCAAGCCACTCGACTTGCAACTGACAGACAATAAAATTGTTTCTTTCCTACAACACCTGCCGGTACCATCAGAAGGATCAAGTAGGAGCAATTACAATGGTCTAATCTTTATTTGAACGAACCTGACACTCTATTCAAGCCAGATAAATACGGCTGTAAGAAGATAGAAGGGTTGATTGAGAACTAAGACCAGATAATCTAAGGCAGGAGGAAGGAACGATCGCACAAACAGGCTACATCAAAGCTTTCAACTTTACGTTTCTTCAATTATAGAAGGGTTACATTTCCTTTTGTTTCTGCTGTGGGGTTCTTTTAGCAGGAAGGCGTTAGAACAGGTTCGACTGTAGTAATAAGGTAACTACCGGGCAGCAGAGCAAACATACCCTGCAAGAGGAAGGTGAATCTGGCAGATCTCCGTTGATCAAATTCTCCAGATTGGGCTGACTGTTTGGGTTGCCCTTTATTTTAGAGGACGAGCCATGTGACATTGGTCCGTCTGAGGAGAGAACCAGGGATCATCTTGACTTAAAACGTGAGCACTCACTCTCTCTCTATAAAGATCTACTTATCATTATCATCATCATCATCATCATCATCATCATCATCATCATCATCATCATCATCATCATCATCATCACCACCACAACAGAGTAGAAAGGCAGTCTTGATAGATTTGCAGGCGAAACATATAAATAAAAAATGTTTAAAATTTGATTTATCAAATCGGCGCAACGTTTCGCCACGTAGGCTTCCTCCTCCTCTTTCTCCTCCCCATCATCATCATCATCATCATCATCATCATCACCATCTTCACCGTCATCATCATCACCTTCATCATAATTTGGTTACAAATAGAAAGATTAATACTGTAAAAAAAAATCATTGCGTTCCTTACCAGTTCTGCCCTTCATAGAGAAGGTTCGCCCGATCTCCGAGAAGGTTCTCTTCATGCTCAGCTTCCTGAACATGGCCGGCGCCGCGTCCCCGTCTGGGGTCGAGATCTTGCGCCGCTGTTTCTGATGTTGGAACCAGTGATGGGCGATGATGGCCGACCGGACCTGGTCTCTCACCGATTCCTCCAGTTGTTTCTGGCTAACCAAGTTGTCTAAAAGTAGGTCTGAAGAGCAATGGGAAATATAAACGTACCAGTTATGGTTTCTTGCTCTCTGTCTCTGTGTCGGTCTCTGTCCTTCTGTCTGTCTGTCTGTCTGTCTGTCTGTCTGTCTGTCTGTCTGTTCGTCTGTCTCTCTTTTACTCTATCCCTCACTGCCTCTCTCTCTTTGTGCGTGTGTGTGTGTGTGTGTGCGTGTGTGTGTGTGTGTGAGAGAGAGAGAGAGAGAGAGAGAAAGAGAGAGAG